GGTGCTAATTTTGTCGAAATTGCACGAGAAAAATCACGTGATTACTCACAAATGAAACACATGAAAAATGAACTTGAGATAGCTTTTCCTATTTACGCAGAAAGCAAAGTGCGCGAGTCACATGCAAAAATGATTCATTCAAACCTTACGAATATCATTGTGCTTTCGGTTTAAACAACGGTCGTCCAATATAAACATAGGTTTTCTACTTCTTTTTGCACAGAGCCACGTAGTTTCTGCTTTGTTTTATCTTTCTTGTATGTAGTATTAGTCAAACAACACTTTTCTCAGCCAATCAGATGGAATAAATTTTTCTTCATGTATCTCTGCCAGTTGTCAAAGTGCAGTCAAACCCCCTCCTCCGCTGAGACCAAGCCTCAGCCATTGCTTATTGTCCGCTCACGGGAGGTGTAAGCCAAAGAGAGGTTTCTGTCAGCGCCAGCGGGTTGCGCCTGTTTACCAACGAAGAGGAAGGACAAAATTTCATCCTTTTTTCGTATTTATAAACAGGCTACCAAGGACGATGTTGTTTCAGCAGGGGTATCTCCCCATCAAAAAAACCAAACATCACTTAAGTTGTTTTAGTAAAGATATCACCCCCTCCCCGATCTCCGGAAACAAGATTCCAAAGGGCGCGAAATTCCACTTAGCTTGGTAGCCTCGCAAACCACAAAAATTCTTCACGCGTCGCTCGTTCCCTAACGATTGTTTACAGTTCCTACCGCAGTAGTCTATTGCTGTGTGTTCTGTTTTCAGCATTTACATCAAGAGCTCTTGACGAGACAAGTGTTATTTAGGTAAGCAAAATTTTAGTTTAGTGTTATGTCATGTCGATTTTGTGGGTTAGTGACAAGAGTGAGAGCGCAGTTTTCAATTTTTTCCAATCTATTGCTTCCATTCTCAATGATCGGAGTTGCATGAATGATTTTTTTTGTCATCTTTCATTTTGAAGCAGAGAACATTTTGTAGTTCACTAAGTTTTTAATATTTATCTGGACTTCTTTTACGTAAATGAAACCAAAACAAGTCGATGTGTCCGAAAGAAATCTGTCGTTACATAGTTAGAGTACGTGCGTATCATAGAGTTTTCGAATGAGGCAAATTTGAAAATTCTATGCTGTGCGTTTGGAAAGTTCTGCCCACGGTAACCGCAAAAACGAAATCAAAATTAAATGTTCTGAAGCTTCGTTGTATCCTAGAGATCTGGAAGAAAACTGTCGCCGTTTACTATATCAATTAATTTCGTGACGGAGTGTTTGTAATTAGGGAATTACTTTCGTCGAATATTAGGTTCAACGTTACATAAATGGGTGGCTTACATTTCTTCATATCTCCATATCGTGTACACCTAAGCCACACGTTAAGTCGCTTAAAAGCTTAAAGATATCATTGTCTCTCCTGCTTGCCGTACTGTCATCGGATAAATTTCTGAATTCCTTACAAGAGGTACGCTAAATTTTCCTTTAATATTTCATCACGAGTTTGAAAATAACTGAGCACATTAGCTTAATAATTGCATTAAATCGATGTAAACACGTATCGCAATTAATTGTCAAGGACATTTGAAAGCTAAATTTGAGATCCCTCTCACAACACCCAAGTTTTTTTTCACTAATTTCACAGTGTAGCAGTTGTAACTTTGATAATTGTATACCTCCTACATTTAGGATGGGTATCATGACTTATTTCATACTGTTAAAAATGCTTGTTATTTCTTGCAAATCGGTAGGGAAGCTTGTAATTGGTAGGAATCAACTCTTACTATAGCTGAAAACCATTTATCAAAATGGGAATAGGGGTGTTTAACACAGGAAATATTATCATGTAGCTCATAAATAGAAGGACAGAGGTGATAATTGCGGACTGTGGCATAGATTTTTTTAAAATTTTGTTCGCATTCTTTAGATATTAGGTTTCAAAGATGAAGGTAAAAGGAATTGTTTTGATCAGTAATTACTCTTTTCAGATGGACAATAAGCATATTTAAAAGAGTCTTTCATGTAGAGGCTGGGTATATTTGCCCTCTTCAGAAATGAGCAAAAATTTTTATGACTGGTAAAAATGCTGATAATAGAGACTAAGATTTGCAAAATCATTGACTCCTGGGGGGCTGTTTCTTGAAAGACTCAGTAACTTTTAAAGCCTGGATAGGAGATTTTTTGTTCTTCACATTTCATTAGCAATCAAGATATTGATAGTTTTGAAATGTATACAATTAAAATATCAGGAAGTGAAATAGAGTAGAGTGGTACCTAAGCTAAAATCTACATTCTATTTTCTTGAATAAGATTAAAAAAATATTACTTTGGGTCTGTAAAGTTACTGGGACTCTCAAGAAATGGGCACCTGCTCTGAAAAGATGTTCTGCTATACTTTCTTTTTTTGTTGAGAGAGGTTATTAGTTGGAAATTTAGGAAATTTGATTATGACATGTTAACATATGTTTTGTTAAAATATGTCAGTGACTGAACAGGGATGTAGAAATGATTCACTTTTAAGCAGATAATTGAAGCTGTTTGACAAACCCAGAAACTGTTTCCTGAGCTTGGGAGATGCATATTAGAGATATGATAAATGTCTTATTAGCCCATTACATCCTAACATCAGTATGCATATTCTCCATACTGTTCTCTATACTTTTCCTTAGGTGCTGACAAGGAGAATCTGTTTATCAGGAGCTTTTTTATTTAGTGATTGTTTCCTTTTTTCTCGTGACCTTAATGTGTGATTCAGGGTGATATTGTAAGGAGAAATTAGATATTAGTCACTCTAAGGGGTCAGTGGGTTAGTGCTGTCTCCTTAGTTTGTACAATAGGCTGCAGATCCTTGTTTTTCCTGTTTTGACTTATGAGCTTCATATGGGCCATAAATTATAAAAGAAAAAATGCTGTAGGTCTGTTACTTATAGAACAAAGTCTTGAACTCTGAAGGACTCAACATAACATTTGTAGCCATAATTATTGTTAGCTTTAGAATCTGGAATGATGAGGAGAGAAAGTAGGAAAATAAGGAAAAAATTCAGACTTATTCATATATCTCTCAGTCAGTACATGGGCTTTGATTGGCCAATCAGTGAGCTGTATTTTGTTTTGTGGCTTGCTAAATTCAAAAGTTTGTTTGAATTGAGATTTTCCTCCCCTATTTGAACCCAGAGATAAAATAGCTATCTTCTAACCTTGTTGTCATGGTTTGTGATATAACTTATTCAACCTTGTATTTTTTTTGGCTCCATCCTAAACTTACAGTACAAGGTTAGGTTGTTCAAAGCTGGGATAAGATGACCCAGGATTAGTGTGGATTATCTGATATCAGGTTTGAAGGCTCTAACAAAAAATTCAGTATAATTCTTCTTGGTAGAAGTTGATTATTGGATGCTCGAAAAATAATAGAGAAAACTATCCCAAAATGGATTCAAATTTAACCTTGGGTTAGCACTAACTAACCTTTAAACAACCTGAACTTGATTAGTAAGAGTTATGTACTAATGTAACTCCTCATTGCTTAGTTCTTTCTAGGTTGCAAAAGCTGAAGGTTGTTCAAAATGCCGTCACGAGAGACAGAGGAAGTTGACTGGAACAACCAAGACCCAGCAACTGTAGTTTACATGATTGGTATCTACGGCTGGAGAAAACGCTTCATCTACTTCCTTATTCTGGTCTTGTTGGTCATTACCATTGTAAATCTTTCTCTTGTCATTTGGGTCATGAGAGTTATGGACTTCAACCTGGTAAATGTTTCAGTCTTTTCTTTTATCTCAACAATGTTCAAAAATGTTTTCACATTTTCTTCTTAAGGAAACCTCCATGTGGGAATTTTATGTTTTATTGCTTAATTTTTTTTATTTCATTTTATTTTTAGGATGGTATGGGCAAACTAAGAATAACTGATCAAGGGTTGAAACTGTACGGCGAAGCAGAATTTGTCAAAGACTTGCGTGCAAACATGATACGACCAAGACAGGTAAAGTACTTTTGTGTCAATGAGCCATGTAGCCATTGCATCGAAGTTACTGACATATTCCTAATTTTAACTCTTCACTTTCAGAACTCTGAACTTACTCTTCAGTCCACGGCAAATGTGACTGTAAATGCCCGCAACTCAGATGGAAATATTACAGGTCAACTTTTCATAGGAAATGATGAAGTTGTGGCCCGCAACCAGAAGTTTTCTATAAAGACAGACCAAGGAAAAAATATACTCTATGCTGACAAAGATAAAATTGTCTTTGCAGCTGATAAGTTGGAATTTTCAAGTAAGTCTGAGGAAACCACTGAACTGTTCTTAGTTTAAGGGTTAGAGATTATATGTTCCATGGAGGACCTTTGTAATATTAGTCTAGAAACTCTTTTGCTTCCAAGATCTTGTTAGTAATTCTCCCTACTGATTGCCTATCAATTCTTATGATATTAGTTCAATGAATATGGTATTGGATCAACTAATGATCCCCTAATTGATATTTACCTTTATTCTCATCACTTGTCTGCTTGATATTGTATCAATATTGTAAGGAGAAATTATGTCTGGGTCACTTATAAGAGTTTAAGGGTTAAGAAGATACTTAAGTTTGTCCTTTCACATTATTCTTGCATGAAAGTTTGAAGCAACAGAGCCCTTTCTTTGATCATTAGCCTAGGTTTCTTGGCTTGAAACAGATCATTTTGAACATGGCCCTCTGAAATAGGTAATAAAAAAAGTGATAAATGAATTGGAATTTAGTGATGGGGTTTGTAGGGCCTGGTTCTTTCATGATAGTTTCCAAGGTGTTACTGGATTTTTGATGGTTGGGTTTTGTGGAGGGAGGAAAACTGAAGGAGTGGGGAGAAAGCCTGTAAGTAAGGAGGTCACCAACAACAAACTTAATCTACTTGTGATGTTAGGTGCAGGAATGGGACATGAGTCACAGGGATGACAGATGAGTACTCTCACCTCTGCACATATTGCTCCTCCCAAAAAAATTAAGGAAAAAAGTAGGCATGTTCACAATTTTATAACATAGATATTCTTTTGATGCTTTAGGTCCAAATGGAGCTCATTTCAGCGGTTCAGTTGAGACTGAGAGTCTTCGGGCCCCTCCCAAGAAAGACCTGCGATTGGCTTCCTTGACAAGGTCCTTGCACATGGATGCTCCAGATGGCATGAGCTTTAAATCTGCAGCTGGCAGTGTAAGAATTTCAAGCCTACAGGATGTGACAATTAAATCCATGAGTGGAAAGGTATAACTACTGACAAATTTCTTGGTCTTTTATCTCATTAATTAACCATTTGACCCCAAAGAATGATTAGCAGTTAATTTCTCCTTACAATATAACCCCTGAATCAAACATGAAGGTCACAAGAATAAAGGAATGAAGTTCTTGATGGTTAAACAAATTCTCCTAAAGAAGTGTATGGTGAACAGTATGGAGAATATGCATACTGATGTTAGAGTGTAAAGGGTTTGGGTATTATTTACTGGTCTCCATCAACATGAAGGAAGTTTTTGAAAATCCAAAAAAACTGATCTTCCTCTATTTCCTCTGTAGGTTGTGTTGGATGCAGAAGATGTGTCATTTAAAAATCTAAAAATTTATACAGGGTCCGGTGGCTCACCTGCTGCCAATGCCCGTGAAGTTTGCATTTGTAAAAATGGAAAGATTTTCTTAGCAGCAGCTCAAAGCCATTGCCAAAGCAGTGCCAGTATTTGTGATTAATGTGTTCTGGTGTAAACTTTTTATAATCCATGTGACTTGCAAAGAGCCTATGGATCATGTCATGGTGTCTTCCAACGACTTGCCTAAACATGGCAGTAAGAATGGTTTAATTTTGTATTAAAGCTTGGTTGATAGCTGTAATCAGGATTACAGATAATAACTGACATTGTAATAAGGACTCATTGGAGTCCAATTCAGGCTGTAATCATATGAGTGATGGACAAAATCTAAAAACTGCAAAAAGAAAAAGTGTGTTTTGACAATCACAAGTCCTGTTTCAAAGTCCTGTTGCAAACTGATTAAAACTATAGCAAAGCTTGAGAAACAAAACACCCACTGGATGAAAGAAATCAGATTTATAAATATAACAGTTGAATTTTTTGCCATAAGAAAATGACTCTAAAAGTCTTTGACTCTTTCACTTCCAAGATCATAAAAGAGCTCATAAGAGCTTCAGAGTTAAAACAGTGTGTACAAGGCGACCATGTTTTCAAATTTTGTTATAGTTTTGAATAATCTGGAAACAGTTTTAAGCATCTAGGTTGGATGGCTTTGAAGTATTTGCAAAAGTATAATGATAAAAGCTTTGGGCATTTTTTCTCCGACCTCTTTTACCATAAGACCTTTTCCTGTTATAAATATGTTAGAGCTAATACTTCAAAGGCAATTTTTTTAAGAGAATATTTTCTAGTGGCATTTTGAGCCAGGTTTGTTGGTATATTTGCAACTTCTTTGTAGCTGCTTGGGTGCCATTTTGTAATCAATATTACTCACTTTGTGTTAGTGAAAAGGAGAATTTCATTATTTATCCAACTTTATTGGTAGAGATGTGGTATTTTATCCTCAGTATGATAAAGACTATGTTTTAAGTGTGCATCTCTTTTTAAAGAAGAGAGGAATTGTTTACATTTAAAGTAATGTACAAGGGTACTTCATCAAAGTTCTGTTAAACCATTGATAGCTAAAAAAAATGCTTATTTTTGAAAGTAGTTATCGGGGTAGTTATTCTATTATTTATTAGGATAGAGATGGTGTGAAAAGTAACTTTGATTACTTTTAGGCTTCAGTCATGGAAGTAGAGAAGATAATAGTTGTAAATCTTTGTAACTTTTTGCTATCTAATGGCATTTTCTGTGAAATATTTACAGCAAATGTATAGTTCTAAAATACATAGGAATTTGCTTAGAATGTGTGTGTTGATGTTGTTGTTAGGCTTATTAATTTCATGATGGAAATATCTAAGTTCTCCTCCGTGACGGTTTTGTAATTTTTCTGTAAGGATTCTTTTATAGATTCTTTTGTAAAATTTTATGAATTTTATACAGCATTACCAAATCCTTTGGCAATATTATTACTTGTTCTTCTTTTAATCTATTTCTTGTTTTTCTTTTTCTGTATTTTCTGCCTGTCTGACAGTTTCTTTTTTTATAGGGAGAATTATAATATTTATCAAGCAGAAACTGGCTAGATGTTGGAAGCTCACTGTAGTTACCTTGAAATATTTGTTGATTAAGGCCTTTCCCTTAAATGTAACGTAATGCTGTCAATAAATGGTTGGGTATGCTAACATCAATTGGTGTTTCCTCTTTTTTACATTTTCTGTTTTACTTTTTTTTTTT